CATCAAGCAAGAACCTCCCAGGCAAGCACATCTCGTTCTATGGTGCCTCATTCATGTCTATATTTCCCTCACTTTCTATAGTCCGTGTCGACCGACAGCTGTATTTACATCTACATTTATGTCTAAACTATATCAACCTGTGGCCACAACTACACCTATTATTAATGTTGTCACTATAACATTTATCTTTCAGTCCAGCTCTCCTTCTTGTATTCATTTCTTCTGGAAAAGGAGGACACAGCTTTTCTTAAGTCTCTTTTTTCCCTGTAGCTCCCTCTCTCCATTTTATCCAATTTCCATTCTCCCCCAACTCTGCTCTTCTCTTTTTTAAGTAGCAGTAATGAGAAACTGAGAAATTTTTCATTTTTTCACCTGTCGTGTTACTTAATACTCTCTTTTCTCCTCTTCATTCCCCAAATACTCCCAGTTGATGAGAGAGAAAGTCAGGAAGAGGATCCTCACCAAGAACCCCACCATGTTTGTACCCTAATCTGGATGTTTTAGCCTCAAGATCAGTGAAAAATCAATTTCTGTATTCAAGCCCTGTGGTGTGTGGTATCTTATTATACCAGCGCAAAAGGTCGAAGACACCAAGGCATTGGAATTTTTTACTGCTATTCAAATAGTTCCAATGTGGAAAACTACCACTTTGCAACAGCACAACATCCATAAATGTACATAATGGTATTTCAGCTCACTTTGAACCCTGCAGATTAGTAAACCTTTATTTTAAAAAGCCCTACAAAATAGGTTGTCCAACGCTACCCTGAATAATTGGGAACAGGAGTGGGAAGATGAAAACTGAACACAGTTTGAACACTCGGGGCCACATTTTAATGACAGAACCATCTCATTATTCAGCTGTTAGACTCTGACTTTGATTATGTGAAATTCCTCCCATACTTTGTCCGTCGCTGGAAAGTAGTTTTGCTTCAATCAAAACAATCATCTGATGTGGGTTATTGTCTAGATCCTAATCAGGCTTTTTTTTTTTTGAGAAAAAAAAAGAAGTCAGATCACCTCTTTCTAACAGTCTATTCAAAAGAGTGAAAAATTAAATGCAAAGGTGCTAATTAGTAGCCACAGATAATTTCCGAATTGTTCTTTTAACTTCTGAAACAAATAAGTACAGATACACTCACCACTGAAAACCCGGGCTCCCTGGAAACTCTGGTAATTAGAGTATCTCTCAGTAATGGACATTACGCAGTAGGCAATAAAAAAATCAGAATGATTTTCATTACTTACCCCCAAAAGTCATTAGTGATAAAGAAAGAAAAAACATTTTGCAGAGAAGTATGGCTCCAGACATCTTAACACAAAGTCTCTTAGAAGACTGAAAACTTACTCTTCAAATAAACAAGCTCCACAGATTTAGAAAAGTGACACTGGTAACTGATTTTAAAACCTGCCATTTAGCACGAGTTCAGGCTTCTCGATTAAATTGCAGATTTGCTCCTCCATGTTTTAACAGCTGGCAGGGGGCCAGTGTAAATGTTAAAAGAAACACCTGGTCTGGCCCCTAAAAATGTCAATGTCTCTAATGGAAATGCATGATGGAGGGAGAGCAAACGAAGTTGGGGAGGGTGTGTCCCTAAGCAAAAGTCCTCCATGCGGGCTTCTGCATATTGATCCTGGAATGTGTGGGAACCCAAACCCAAAGTAATGGGAGAAGTCCGAGATACACTTTCATAAATTCACAATTCCTAGCTTTTTTTTCCTTAAATTTTTTATTAGTGAAACACCATGAGGTACAGTTGTAGACTTACAAATTTTTGTGCTTGGGTTTCAGTTCTACAATGATCGAGTACCCATCCCTCCACCAGTGCCCATTCTCCACCACCACCAGTACTAGTATCCCTCCCACCTCTCTTCCCCCCATCCCACCCTATCTCTGTGGCAGGGCATTCCCTTTTGTTCTCTCTCTCCATTTGAGTGCTGCGGTTTGCAAAAGAGACATTGAATGGCAATCTTGTTCGGACTATAGTGTACTCTCATCACACATTTCCCATCCTGAGAGGAACTTCCCAACACCCTTTATTTGGTGTTCCCTTGTCTATCTGAGCTGCCTTTTCCTCTAGCATGTGTGGCTGGCCTCAAAGCCATGGATTAATCCTCCTGGTACTGATACCGGCTATTCTTGGGTGTTAGTCTCCTATTTTGTTACTTTATGTTCCCCAGATGAATGCAATCTTTCTATGTCTATCCCTCTCTTTCTGACTCATTTCGCTTAATCCCTAGCTTTTAAAAACACTTCTTTGCAGAAACAGTTATTGTCTTGAGTCAAAACATGGAGGCCCCTTCAAGTGAACAAATTAGGGAAATTCATAATCATGATAGAAAATACATGGGAAAATAAACTTCTAGCAACATAAAGGATTTGGGAATACTCTGAACAGAACAACCCAGAATCCAGGATTGAAACAAAGCAATGGACCTTTCTTCTGGCCCTCTAGCTTTCTTGGGGAATTCCGCTACCCTTCCCATTTCCATTGCCACTATAGATAGCTGCTCTGTGAGCACATCTTTTGGGGAAGCCTTGAAGAATCAGTAAGAGGCTCTCTAGAGTGGGTCATGTTCAAAGGCAACTGGAATCTTCCTATGATAACCTAGAAGCAAGGCCTGGACCAATAAGCTGTGCCTTGTGCGCGCGCGCGCGCGAGAGAGAGAGAGAGAGAGAGAGAGAGAGAATGTGCGTGCAGAGGGTGGGGCAATCATCTCTCTACATTTGTAGGAAAGTGGAAAGTGAAAGACACAGGTCATAGAGACTGGGAAATGGGCCCCAATGCTTACATGAGTTAGGCACAGGTCACAGAGACTGGGAAATGGGCCCCAACGCTTACATGAGTTAGGTCTCTAACTGTCCTGTCATGGGAGTACTGGAAATCCAAAGGCCAAATCCCTCCAAACCAATCTTGGCATTTTTTCCCCATAAAAATGTCCCTCCTCATGGCAATCATGAGTTTGCTAATCAGAGTACCACTGCTTAGCTGAAACAATGAATGCAGACTGTGGTGTGAATATGCCCCCCCTCCCCCCCCCCCGCATTGAACTCTAATTTATGTTCATTTGTATTAGGTTAGGACCAACTATCCTTTCTGAGTTCAAAGAGATTTCACTTATTTCTCATAATTAAGAATATTTCGGGCTGGAGCGATACCACAGCGGGTAGGGCGTCTGCCTTGCACGCAGCCAACATGGCCGACCCGAGTTCGATTCCTCCGCCCCTCTCGGAGAGCCCGGCAAGCTACCGAGAGTATTCCATATGCCAGACACAGTAACAACAAAGTCTCCAATGGAGACGTTACTGGGCCCGCTCGAGCAAATCGATGATCAACGGGAGGGCCTTTACTTTACTTTTACTAAGAATATTTCACTTAGGTTGAAAAAAAAGCTGGGTAAAACCTCACTCTTTTTGGCAAGTGCAATATAAGCACTTTTCTTGACAAAACCAGAGCACTGCAACCACTGTGAAAATCAGTAATGCATTTACTTTTTGAGGAACCAACTCAAAAAATAAACATAGAATTATCATATGACCCATCAGTTCCACTTTTAGAAATACAACAAAAAGAATGGAAAGAAAGGCATCAGATACTTGTACATCAACATTCACAAAGTATTATTACAAAAGCCAATGGATAGAAACAACTCAAGTATCCCCTGGCATAAGAATGGATAAAGAATGGATAAAAAATATGGTACATCCACACAATGGAATATTATTCAGTCTTAAAAATGAAGGAAATTCAGATATATGCTACAACATGTATGATCTTGAGGACATTCTACTACATGAAGCAATCCAGATACAAGTAGATGATCTATGCTTTTACTTATAGGAAGTTCCTAGCACAAAGACCAGTAGTGGCGATGAGAAGAATGAGGAATTATTTAAGGAATGGGCTGGAGCAATAGCACAACGGATAGGGTGTTTGCCTTGCACGCAGCCGACCTGGGTTCAATTCCTCTGTCCCTCTCGGAGAGCCCAGCAAGCTACCGAGAGTATCCCACCCTCACGACAGAGCCTGTCAAGCTCCCCATGGTATATTTGATACGCCAAAAATAGTAACAAGTCTCACAATGGACACGTTACTGGTGCCCACTCGAGCAAATCAGTAAACAATGAGAGCACAGTGCTACAGTGAGGAATTATATAAACATTCTGTTGGAAAAGATGGAAAAAGTTCTGGAAATGGACAATGATGATGGTTGCACAAATTTTATAAATTACTTAATACAGTGAATCATACTTAAAATGGATGAAAATGGCAAATAGCATTTACCATTACATTTTCATAACCATTATGTGTAACTAATTAAAAGGAAAACAGAGGACTACCAAAATCTGAATGATCAGCACAAGGTACCAGGAAAAACTGATAAAAGGAACCATTTGGCACATAATCCTTTTTGATGTTTTTATCCTAGTTTCTGATAAGCCAATAACACTTCCATCTTGACTATCTCTGTAAGCTTTTTAATTTAAAATAAATTAAATAATTCGTCATGGTTTGGGGGACACACCCAGCTGTGCTCTGAGATTACTCCTGGCTCTGTGTCAAGGATCACTGCAGGTGGTGCTCAGAGCACCATATGGGGTGCCGTGGATTGAGCCCCAATCAGCTGTGTACAAGGCAAGCACCCTGCCTGCTATACAATTTCTCTGGTCCATCCGCAAGCTTTCTAAATGCTTCGCCTCCAAAGGAAATTCCAGTTACTAGTCTCAGACAGAGAACAAGAGTGGCAGAGATTTATGGAGGCACACTTTTGCTGCAGTCCAGTTTACCGCGGAAGGCAGTTAACCGTCACTCTAAGATGGCACCTGTCCAAGAACAAAGCAGCCTCATGTCCCAACATGCAGGAAGAACAGGCAACTGAGCACCTTGAGTGATGGCCTTGAAATACCTCTGACCTCTACTCTAACATCATTCATTTTCCCAGGGAAAGAGTCAACACAGAGGCACCATGGAAGCCAAGGGTTTTACCGTCCCACGTACTTGATGAAGCAGTCTCGGCCATCCCGGTTGGCCGTCATCTCCCATCCATAGGGTGGCCCCTGGTTCAAGCCCCAGGTTCCTGAAGGAGGTGGCCAGCCTGAAGACTTCGTCCTGTGGCTGGAAGAAAAAAAAGAAGAGCATCACTACATCTGACTGCTAGCTCAGGGGCCATGAGGCCAGCAATTAGAATGCCTAGGGACCGGGACCACCCTGGCATTTTCCTCTGAGTATTTTGCTTCCTTTTTTCATAGATACCCTCCATGGCAGATACACTTATAAACTGATGGCTCAGAAAGACAAAGTAGACAAAGTCAGTTTTCTGAGGCTATACAGGCCATTTTTTATTGTTTTTCTGTGTATATATATATATATGTATATATATGTATATATATATATCTGGACTCTGCGCCAGGCTGTTTTCACTCGGGGAGTCCCAGCAGGGGGCAGGCGAGAGCCCTCATCCCCCCCCCCCCCCCCCCCCACCGCAAGGGACCCAGCCCCAGCAATCGACGCCACACTCCAGGCCGCTTTCCGGACACATTATAAGACACTTCCTACCCATTTTCCATGATTACCACACCATGTTTGATGGGATTCAGACAATAGGCAACAAATTTTATATATATATATGCCTCTCGGAGAGCCCAGCAAGCTACCAAGAGTATCCCGCCCACATGGGCAGAGCTTGGCAAGCTCCCTGTGGCGAATTTGATATGACAAAACCAGTAACCATAACAGGTCTCATTCCTCTGACCCTGAAAGAGCCTCCAATCATTGGAAAAGACGAGTAAGGAGAGGCTGCTAAAATCTCAGGGATGGGAGGAATAGAGACATTACTGGTGTCCGCTCCAGAAAACTGATGAAGAATGGGATGACAGTGATGCAGTGATAAAGGAATCACCGTGAGATACAGTTACAAACTTACAAACTTTCGTGATTACGTTTCAGTCATGCAATGATCCATCCCTCTACCAGTGCTCATTCTCCACCACCAATGTTGCCAGTATCCCTCCCACCACCCCCACCCCATTCCCCCCTTGCCTCTGTGGCAGCCCATTTCCTTTTACTCTTTCTCTCCTCTTGGGTGTTATGGGAGTAAGTGGCCATCATGTTTGGTCTATAGTCTGCTAGAAGGGACCACTAAGTGAAAGGGCTTGAATGGCTCGCTGGGGATGGGAGATGCATGCTGAAAGTATACAGGTCAATATTTTAACAAATGTGAAGCATACTATCTATGACACCATGCATCTCTGAGAATAGACAGAAGGCTAGTTATGCAATAGAGATTTCAGAGCACTTTAGAAATATATATATGTAACACTTGTTTTAATGGAGAGTAAGCAAATCATCAAGCTTCCAAATTTTTAGGAGGCCTCGAAATAAAATACAAATTTTGCAGTCCTGAGGTGGAGAGACAATACAGTGGGTAGGGCTTTTTGCCTTGAACACTGCCAACCCGAGTTCTATCCCCGGCATCACATATAGTCCCCTGAGCACCACCAAGAGTGATTCCTAAGTACTGAGCCAGGAGTAATCTGGCATCACTGGGTGTGGCCCGAAACAAAACAAAACAGAAATCAAATTTTGCAGTCTGAAAACCATACTCTAGTACAGGTGATTCCTAAGATCTTGAGCAAACTCTTCATTGAAGTGACATAAAAATCCAGATATTGGAGCTGGAGCAATAGCACAGCGGGTAGGGCGTTTGCCTTCCATGCAGCCGACCTAAGTTCGATTCCCAGCATCCCATATGGTCCCCCGAGCACCGCCAGGAGTAATTCCTGAGTGCATGAACCAGGATTAACTCCTGTGCATCACCGGGTGTGACCCAAAAAGCAAAAAAAAAATCCAGATATTAACATTCTAAATTTCTATCACATACCCTTAAGTTTGACTCTTCAGCAAAGCAAAAGGATGAATTAAGGAGAACTTCTAGAAGTCTGCTTTTCTGCAGCAAAGGCAATAGGGAAGTGTCTCCATATGACCAGGAGTGGTGACAGGCAGCTTAAAGAGAGAACTGGGCCCCATTTCTGGTGCATCACGAATCCTGGCCCAGGACCTGCATAAATCCTGTCATCCAGGACACAGGCTCACTCCCCTCCCACCCCCAACCCAGCTCACATATCTGATCAACACCCAACAGTTCTCAAGGGCAATAAGCCAGTTTCCTGTAAGTTTTCTGGAAAGTAACTCGTTTGCATCATTTCAACCACAGAGGTGGCTTTTTGGAACTTCCTCTCAGTTTTCTCCAACCCTTCATAGAGTGGGGGGAGGGGGTCAAAGAGTTTCACAAACTGAATACAGATCTGGCAAATATAGAATGGCCCCACAGGATTATTTCTTGTCCCTTGACTATTTAAAGAAAAGGCAAGGCAACAGTTTTTGTTCCCCTTCTTTGCACGAAAGTCAGCAGTGGCAATTTCCTCTGGTATTTTTTTTAAATGTGCTGCTTGCCTGCGGTGAGAGAACACATGAATTTACCACCGGGAGGGACTACAGACACACACACACACACACACACACACACACACACACACAAACGCCAATCTCTTTGCAGGAGCAGAGAATGCCTTTAGAATGCTGTCTACGGCGCAGCCCAGAACACAGTCCATGAGAAAGAAGAATGCCCCATTCCGCTTTTCAAATAGGTGTTGTGCAAGGAACAATTCAGTAGGAAGTCACCGGAAGCAGATTCTTGTGGAGGAAGGGAGGGACAATGCAGAGAAGGGAACTCTTCTGGATTCCTGAAGTAGGGACTGTGGCAGCATGCTAATCTTTTTCAGAGGCTAACTTGTCATTAAAAATGGTCTCATCCTAACACCCAAGAATAGCCGAGATAAATATCAGGGGGTTTACTCCATGGCTTGGAGGCCAGCTGCACATGCTGGGGGAAAGGCAGCTCAGATAGAGAAGGGAACACCAAATAAAGGGCATTGGGAAGATCCGCCCAGGATGGGAGATGCATGCTGAAAGTAGACTCTAGACCGAACATGATTGCCATTCAATGTCTCTTTTGCAAACCACAGCACTCAAACGGAGAGAGAGAACAAAGGGGAATGCACTGCCACAGAGGCAGGGTGGGTTGGGGGAGATGGGGGGGGGTGGGAGGGATACTGGGATCCGTGGTGGTGGGAAATGGGCACTGGTGGAGGGATGGGTACTCGATCATTGTAGAACTGAAACCCAAGCACAAAAATTTGTAAGTCTACAACTGTACCTCATGGTGTTTCACTAATAAAAATTAAAAAAAATATATAATCGTGTTGGCTTGCTACTCAAGCCTATGTTCTCCTGTGAACAAATTTCCTGTTTTCTCATCTCTGTGTGCTTTCTCTAGAACATGTACTTCTCTTTTTCTCCTCTCACATCTTTCTAAAATAAGTTTCAATAAAACCATCTGCATCACCAAAAAAAATGGTCTCATCTCTCCTTTTATTTTCCTTACTGTTCACTTTTCTTTCTTTTTTTTTTTTTGCTTTTTGGGTCACACCTGGTGATGCTCAGGGGTTACTCCTGGTTTTGCACTCAGGAATCACTCCTGGCAGTGCTCAGGGGACCATATGGGATGCTGGGAATTGAACCTGGGTCGGGTGCGTGCAAGGGAAACGCCCTACCCACTGTGCTACCACTCCAGTTCCCTGTTCACTTTTCTTTGCTTCATTTTTTCTTCGACTTCAGAGTCGAAATGACTAAAACACCCAGGGTTCAGAATTTAGCCAACCTATAAAATACAGCAAGACATTAGCAAGCTAGAGGAAGCCTAAATTCTATGTTAAGTCTCAGTCCATCCTGTATAGTGTGTCCAGGAAACTCTGGCCAGGACTCAGAGAGAGAAGATAAGGGTCAGAATTTAGTAGAATTAGTAGAATTCAGCAAGTGAAAAGTGCAAGTAGCATCACAACACACCTTGTAAGTATTGAAACATGAGAAACTCAAGAAAAATCAAGGTTACAGTACGAAGTGTTTGGTTCCCACCTTTTCCAATGTGATCATTGCAGACCAGCTGCAGCAGTGTCCCACTGGTAGCCAGTGATTTACCCTCTCCTTACCCTCTCCTGTTCCAGGACCCAACTAGTTTCCACCTCCAAGGCTGCACTGAAGTCCTCACCACCCCCAGCCCAGCACTGCTGCAAGATGGCTTGTTTTCCACAATGAGTGCAAAGAGGCAGGGTTGGGGTTCACACAAGAGTACCCCAGTGCTTTGACCTTGGAACCCTCTCAATTGAGAAACATGTACCGGGTCCTCTGGAGGAGCCAGGAGCTGCCGTGTGAGGAGTTTGGTGCTAAAATTCTAATCACGAGGCCACCTTGTTCCTGTGTCAGAGCTAAATGCCATTTCACATCCTTCCGAGTGGCTAAGGCCTCTTTAAATTTCTCCTCTGTGAATGCTGGGTTACTTGTCTTGTACAAGGATCTATTATCCTCAAAGCTCCTTTCAACTCTATGGATCCCACAGACACTCCCGTGAGCTTGATTGCTAGCACTGCAGGGGAGGGCTTCAGCCTTGGACAAGGAGAGCTTCCGGCTGCAGTTTGCCAGATTGAGCAAGTACCAACCCAGGTAGTTCCTGGTCAATGCGAATGTCACACAAACAACAATGCTTAGCACAAGCAAAACTCATAAAATATCTGCGGGGGGGATATTTATGCTAAAGCATTTATTCCTTCTCTAGCTTAAATTTAAATTCAAGTGAGCATCCTGTATTTTTTTTTTTTTGCTTTTTGGGTCACACCCAGTGATGCACAACGGTTACTACTGGCTCTGTACTCAGGAATTACCCCTGATGGTGCTCGGGAGACCATATGGGATGCTGGAAATTGAACCCGGGCTGGTCGTGTGCAAGGCAAATGCCCTACCTGCTGTGCTATTGCTCCAGCCCCTGCATCTTGTATTTTAACTGCAGAATCTATTCCAGAGCCCCACAGCAGATTCTATGGCAGTATAAAAGAGAAGACCTTTGGGACCGAACCCATAGTACAGCGGGTAGAGCACTTACCCTACAAAAACTGAGAACTGGTCTTCAGCAGGAAACTCACCATGGGGTAGGGAGTGGGGGAGGTTCTGGGTTGCGGGCACTGGGACAATGTAGGGGTAAGGAGACACTCTACTGGAAGGTT